ACAAAGAACCCAAACCAAGACAATGGTCTGACCTCTTCCCTAAACTTAAGGGAGGAAAAGCTGTATTCACAAACTCTACTCCAAGACAAAGAATTCGCTCAAAGAATGAGAATGCACTCATCCTAGATATTCAAAAATTAGAAAACTTCTCTACAAATGATATTATCGCAGCTCTAGCTATAAAGCTGGGTGATGATCTAGTTGGTGCCAAAGTCCACATGTCTAGAGGTAAACGATCCTCACTTGAAATAGTTCTTAAAGACAACAAATGACTCCAGCAATATTCAGAGCACTATCTTTGGCTACTTACCCATAAATTCTAACCGATCCTTCCTTACGGTCAAGCTCAAGAATATGCCTATAGGGGATATCAAATCGATCACAAATAATATTCTTGAAGCGTTTCAGGATGTGGGCAAAATCTCTGCAATAAAACCACTATTATATGAAGGAACCTCAGTTTGCTCGGACCAATGGCTGCTAACCTTCGAGACTACAAATGACCCAGATCTATGTTCAAGAATTCCTAGAAGTACTCATATAGAAAACCACAAAATCTTGACCGAATGGAAGGAAGCACCCAAAGTATGCTTTTACTGCGATAGAGAAGGTCATATTAAAAAAGACTGCAAAGAATTAAAGGAGTCAATAGAACTCCGACAGCACTTAAGAAAAACGAATGAACTAAGAGAAAAAGCTAGAGCTGCTAATACTCAGTTCACAGAACTAAACTTTAGTGCAGATAACCCTTATACAAAGGTAGATACAACTGCCACCAAGCCAAATGAATATGTCAATACCAAGAACACAGAACCAGAACAAAAGGCAAAGATGGTCGAATCAGAACCAGAGGTAATGGTAACAGACCTACCAGAAAAACTGAATCCACACACTGCCCTAACCGGCACCAACCACACAGAGACAACGCCCACAGATATGCCGTCAGCGATAGAAAGTTCTAATCGCACAGAGGCTATGTCTACAGAAACCTCAGTAGCAACAGTTAACGCTGACCACAGGGAAGCAATGTCTATAAATATACCGCCAGAAACAGACCCTATTGAAATACAAGAAGAACCCTTCACAACCGTAAGCTACAAGAAAAACAAAAGCAAAAACAGCCTCAAAAATACATCACATGGGTTCCAACCATACAAGAGCGTAAATAGATCCCATCAGGGTCTATTCACACACAAGAAATAAACACAAAGGTCACAACCCAAGTGTAGCACCTTCACCTCTCTTTAAAATTCATGATTAAAATAGCTACACTAAATGTTAAGGGTCTAAATAACAGACCCAAAGCACAAAAGACACTTACGCTACTCAAAACATATAACTTAGACATCATCATGTTACAAGAAACCAACTTAAATGATATTCAAACAAGAGAATTTTTGGCACAACAGTGGAGCTACGACTCCATTTGGTCCTCGAAAACAGCAATACTAGCTGGCAAGAAAAACATCAAATTCAACAACTCCAAAATTTCACAAGAAGGAAGAATAACAATAGCAGAAACAGAAATTAAACAACAACCATACACACTTACAAATGTATATGCCCCACCAAACCAAAGTGACCGTATAAAGTTTCTGAGAGAATGGACCCCGGAAAGCCCAGAAGGCAATATAAGCATAATTGCAGGGGATTTTAACACCAATCTCGACCCACAAACCAACAGAATAAGCCAAGCAGCAGTACAGAATGACCCTTCTAGAGAAATACTCAGAAACTGCCTTAGCGGGTACACAGATCTAGCACTCTTTGCAAAAGAAAGCCCATTTATCACTTTTCACCAAAGCACGTGCAACAACCAAAAAATGGCAACCCGTCTTGATTATATCTTTATTGATGAAGGCCACAGTCACCTAGGCCAGAATACTTGCACCAGATTCGGCAATTCAGACCACTTACTGGTTGAGAGTGAGCTTAATTTTAAAACCAAAAACTATAGCAGCCCACTGTGGAGATTCGACAGAAAACTCTGGGGCATTGCAGAAATCAAAGAAGACATTATTACTGAACTACAAAACATACAAGAAATCGAAGCATGGGACCTACACAAATGCATAATCAAATCCATCACCATGGCAGGTAAATTCTCCCGGGCCCCAGAGAGAAATATACAAAAACTCCACAAGAAACAATGCAAAATAAACAACAAAATTGCAAAATTCCCAGACATTGAAGAATACAAGTTAATTGCAGAAAAGCTTAATCTAGAAGTCCAGGAGGAGCTCTCAGCAATGTCGGAAAAATGGCGAATCAGATCAAATACTAAATGGATAGAGGAAGGAGAAAAATCAACCAAATACTTCTTCATGCTATTCAAAAAGAAACAAGCAATCTCCTGTTGTTCCAAAATACAAAATGCAGGAAGCCCAAGCACAGTGAACTATAGCCAAACTCTTAACTCAATCAAGGACAATTATCAGGAAATCTACAAAAGCGAAAAAATTAATGAAGAAGCCATTCTG